GCGAAGCCAGGTGATCGAGGTTTGCCCAAGCATCAGTTGGCAGCACCAAGGTCTGGATACCGGGCAGCATTTCTCTACCACAGGCCAGAGCCCCCACGCCCCAGCACAGCTGCCAGGAGCCCCCCAGATCCTGGGAGCAGTGGCCACCGCACCAGCGCTCCCAGCCCCACGGGGCAGCCGGAGGGAGCAGGGCAAACTCACGTAGGTGTCCAGGAGGTCGACGACGTCCGAGCGCATCTTCCCAGCCAGGCGGATGCCTCGGCTGCACAGGTCGTGGCGCGGGAGGGCGGCTGAGGCGCTGTCTGCTGCCGCCATGGCCTGGGCAGCTGTCACGGGCACCAGGCTGATGGCGTGGCGCCTGCCCGGCCCGGGGAGGACAATCCCTTGCTGAGCTGGTGCATTCCAGCCGGGAGCTCAGCTCACACATCCGCTGGCCTTGCTCTCCCCCTCTTCTGCGCCTGGGGCCTGGCACGACACTGCAAATTCCCGCCTCTGGGATCAACAGCGACAGATTATTTCCCTAATGCCCCCACGCTTCGCTACTCCAAGCGCCTTGCCCAGAACGGTCTCGCCCAGCAGCAACAGACTCCCAGCCCCAGTTCTGACCCATTCCTCCCTCCTGACCACACCGTGAGATTAGCAGCACACTAATCCCCCCCTCAGCTCATGCCAGAGCGCGGGAAACTGCTGCCGGGAAGAAGTGAGCAAAGCCCGGACATTGCTCAACATCTCAGCCCGGGCAGCGAGCTGGGGCCTGAGCAGGGCAGAGCGCTGCAGGTTTGCCAGCGAGGGACCGAAAGGAGCCCCCGGGCTGGAGCTGCAGCACTGGCTGCCGACTGGGCTGCAACCCAAACCCTGACAGAAGGCAGCACCGCCAGCCCTCTCATTCCCCCATGGCTCCCCCAAGTCTAACCCCCTTTTCCCAGCAGGGTCCTGCCCCAAAGGGGGGGGCTGCAGACAGGGGAAGGAGGTCCCAGCCACCCGCCACAGGCGAGCTGCATGCAGCAAGACAAAACCAGCCCTCGTGTTTGGTTTGGTTTTTCCTCAGTATGTTTATTTTGGTTATGTATTACCCAGATTAAGACAAAAAAAAGCAGGAGTTGAAAAAAAGCAGTTTCCCTTTAGTATCACAGCACAGCGAGCCTTGCCCCAGCCTGGCCAGGGGAACTGGCCCAGCAGGGCTGGTGGCCAACTCAACAGCGTCGTTGCCACCTGGTGGCTACTGCAGAAAGCACTGCTGAGCTCCCAGAGCCCCCCAGCTCCAGCTGGCAGAGCCCCCGGCCCAAACCCTGCACCCCAGGGCCCCCCGAAGGGAGGCCTCTGCCCACACACCATTGCCCATGCCGGGAAAAGCACGCGCAAGCTCTCTGGGGTGCTGAGAGCAAGCAAAGGGCCCTGCGCCCCCTCTGTTCCCTCCCCAGGAGGAGAAGAAAAAAAATAAATACAGGGGAAAAAAAATACAAAAAAGTTTATTGCAAACTACTACAATAATTTATTGAAGCAAACTGCATGCGAGTGAAGGAGAGACATCGAGGGGAGGAGGAGCTGCAGGAGGTCCATGTCAGTTTTAGGGTTTCAAACAGGAGGGGGAAGGGAACACCAGTCTCTCCTGCATCGGGGGTTAGCAGGCTGTGGTTAGAGGACAGACAGGCAACCGGCCGAGACCAGAAAAAGAAAGAGGGAGAGCTACAAGAGGAAGGACAAGGTGGGGAGTGGCAGGGATCAGAGGCATCCGGGCCAGGAAGCAAATGAGCTGCTCGATTCTGTATCCCAGAAACGTGACTGGTGGCAAACTCTTTGCTCCACTCGGGGCGGCCAGGGCAGGCGCAAGATGAGGCAGCCTCCCAGCCAGGCACCAAGCCTTGTGACACCAGAGGTGAGCAAGCCCTTGACCCAAAAGCATTTTAGTGCCATCCCTCAGGAAACAAACCCCTGAGCTCTCCATTTAGTGTTCTGTGCAAGGCTCTGCCCACTCCACACCTCCCACGGGGCAGAGAGGCAGGGCAGGAAAAGCAGCTCCAGCAGCATGGTCTGCAGGGAGGGGGGTGACGCGCCAATGCGCACCATACGAGCACGTCTGCCACCAGCGGCCGGAGGCCAGGCCAGGAGACGTGCCACCACCTCACAGCTTGGTTCGGCCAGCCCCGAGTCTCCCAGGTCAGAAGACCCACACTGCTGCGGGGTGAAAACCATCAGTGTTGGGTTTGAACACGACTCATTGTGCCGCTTCTCTTTAGTCTGCAAGAGGAGGGGGCTGGCTGGCCACCCTTTAAAAGCTTCCTGCTGGAAATCACAATAATTTGATCCAAGCAAGAAACCGGATCGTCCCAACTGAAGAAACTGGTTTAGATTAACAAACACCGTACCACTGCGGACCTGACCACACCGTCCCAGGAGACCCATGCTCAGGTACGCCAGGCCCTCACCCTTATCTCCAGGAGAGGCTCGGGGCTGGATGCGCCTCCTGCAGGCATGGGAACCACGCTGCTGCCGTGGTGCAAGAACACGGGATGCCCACACCCAGGGCGTTCAGCCACCAACTGCCCCAACACCAGAAGTGTTTCAACTTGCTCTGACAAAGATACCGGTGTAAAGGGGGGAAAGGGAGGGGGCAAATCAGAGACGTGCCACCACCTCACAGCTTGGTTCGGCCAGCCCCGAGTCTCCCAGGTCAGAAGACCCACACTGCTGCGGAGTGAAAACCATCAGTGTTGGGTTTGAACACAACTCATTGTGCCGCTTCTCTTTAGTCTGCAAGAGGAGGGGGCTGGCTGGCCACCCTTTAAAAGCCTCCTGCTGGAAAACACAATAATTTGATCT